TTTTTTTGTCTTGATGCTCGATAGTTTTTTAATTTTACTTTAATTACCCATATTTTTCTCAAATGATTTGAAGGCTTGTATAATTACCATAATTTCATACAACCCTCCCCGGGTTAGGTGGAATTAGTACTACGAGTATAGTAAACATGGCTTCCAGAAGCAGATCTCTGACTCCTCAACTTTACCAACGATTTCGTCAAGTTTGTGAGCAATGGCCTGTGGATAAGACCAGATGTGGGAGAGACCTTGGTGCACATATCAAGGAGAACTTCGGGGCTAACATGAAAAATTCTAAAATTGATGTAAGGAAAATAATTTTATGGCGTGCGAGTAAGCTTGTTTAAGCTTATGTAACCTGTGGTCTACGTATTAGACATCAGACTATTAATTCGCTGTAGGCCGAAATAATTCGCAATTTTCTGCCCATTGACGCCTTTATTTGATATTCTTTTTGTTGTTAGACGAATGAAGCTGAAAAGATGCTGGACAGTCTGGTGAAAATTAGTTCTAACTATTACAAAGAAAAGGTAAGCTTCGACTCGATCACACCAGCTTCAAGCCACTGCTCCTCCAAACACCATTCAATAAAGACTATTTTTATGGTGAAGGTTATATTTCATTTATATTTATTATATTTTTTAAGTGTCTGAAAGCGGCTGTAGGGGAGACTACCGGTGATTCTGAGACGATAATCAACGGTGGAGTTGTGATTTTCCAATTTTTTGGAACGCACACACATCGTGGGCTCAAATCGAACGTTCAAAAGTAGGCAGGCACCTTAATTTTACGAGGAACCATACCCGTAGTCATTACCTGTTTTATATAATGCATAGGGCAAAATTCAATGAAAAAAAATTGTCTTGAAACCAATATAATGCCCGTACGTTGTCATTGATCCTGAACTATTAAATTAAATGTAGTTATGGTTCAAAAGAATTTTATTCAGAATTCAAACATATTTCTTCATTACTAGGCAACTGAACTACCAATCATAATCTAGTAATTCGGCACTGCGAATTATTATAAGTAATAAGTTATATTTTACTTCCCTTTCAAGGTCTTTCAATCCTGACAAAAAAGAGCAAGTCAGAAATTTGATCTTTAAGCTTAAGCTCATATTGGTTTCAAGATTTTTTTCTTTTAATTTGTTCCCTATATGATAATGAAACCAACAAAATCTTGGCTCAGATCCGGGCTCGAAAAATTGGTACCCCCCTAGTAGGGTAAGCTTGAGTTGTAATGATYGTAAGGGACAACATGTACTGAGTAGCAAACAGACATATCAGGGTCGGCCACAAGCAAGGAACCTTTAAGGCATTTTTTTCATAGAGGTTTGTTCAAGTCACTCCACAGGCTCCATAGCTCTGCTTTTGTGGAGGTTTTATTAAGAGTTTGTAATGTGGAAAAATCGGCTGGAAATTAGTGCAGACCGAGATAAAGCACAGGACAAGATATCATGAAAAGTTAGTAGCATCTATTTCAGTGTTTTCAAAAAACATTTTCACATTACAAACCCTTTTTAGAACCCCCACAAAAGTAGAGTTTGGGCTACCTGTGGTAAAAAGGCCCACATGTAAATTGTGGAAAATGTGACAAATTTCAAGGGGAGCCCTGTGTCAGATAAACTGTAATGCACTTTTAACTTTGGTAAAGTCATCCTTATCAGTAATCTTTTTTTATCTATTCAATTTACCACTGTGAGGTGGACAAAAACACTTACAAGTCTAGGACTCAATACAAGGCAACCGGTTAGAATTTTATTCCGCAATGTGGTTCTCACTGTCTAAAACGTTATAGTAGTTGCACTGTAAGGGCTGTGATAAATTTATAGACTTTTCCAAGTTGCACATGCCTGTAGTAATGCACTTGAACACATTGATACTTGTTTGCATGAAAATGGCATGATTTTTTTTTTTTTTTTTTTAGAATTTCGACACTATAATCGTTTTCTTGGTATATTATAATATCAGGGACGGCGGAACTGGGGGGGCTATTGCCCACTTTTTGTGAAATTTTAATACATTTTCACTAAACTCAGTCCCCCACCTTGCCATACAATGTCACTATTGAGGCCCCCCAATCAAAAAACTGCTCAGCTGTCCCTGAATATAAATGAATAATGAATAAATCAATTATACATGCATCATATTCTAGTTCGTAATAAGCCCCCCTTATAAAATGTCCCTGATCTGGGGCAACAAAACTTGAATAACCCTCAAGCCTAAGCTAACAATGGACCTTTTTGCTAGGGAGACTTTTCACAAGTCAATATTATGAAAAAAATAATTAGAACTTTTGAAAGATCAGAAAATTTATTAAGCCCTAAAATTCCTTGGCAAAACTAAAATGCATTGTTCTCTTGTCAACAGTATCCTAGAAAACGTGACACTGCCTTCTCAACTGATGTTGCCAAAGAAGCAGGAGCTGTATTGTCTACACGTAATTACATTCCTTTCTTTTTTAACAGTCCTTAACGTCACGGTAGTTACGTAACAAAATATTTTGCTTTTATTACATAATACAGTCACCACTTTTTTTGATATATTTTCATCCTTTTGGGAGTTATATACTTTGAATATGTTAATGACTGTTTAATATACAAATTTTAACTTATTCAAGCAAAAAGTATTTTAAAGCATCAACACCATACTCATGGGTTACCCCATACTCATGGTTTACGTAGGGGGGGTACTCTTGCCCGTTTAGGGTAGGGATGTGCCGCTGAGCCCTCTGAAACCTGACCCTGTTCCAGAGTAAAATCGCTGAAATTCATACCCTGTTTCAGAGCAAGATCGGTGAAAATCATACCCTGTTCTGGTATTGCGAAAATGGATACCCTGTTCCAGAGAGGAGAGAGCATGATTTCATACACCCTGTCCCAGAGCGAGCACAATTTTATATACCCTGTACCAGAGTAGAATCGCTGAAAACCATACCCTGCTTGGCAACACGTACCCATATAGCGAATATTATAGGGGAGTACCCCCCCCCCCCCAGATGGTTTACGCTATGTAAATGTGGTGCCTCATATTAGTCAATGTTTAGTATTGTAAGACCTGTACAAATACACTGTAATGCCCAGTATGATGTGACTTTCTTCAACTGTCATTTAAAGTGTATAAACCATTATGATTTAAAGATGAAACACTTGAATGAAGAAATACTTCAACATTCAACTAGGGAAATATTTATATACTTTTTTTACAGTCGAAAAGCATTATTTACTGTTTTCTGGTTTAGTCTTGGGCACGGTAATACATATTTGTGGCTACTTGGCTTGCTCAGAAGCCACTTTTTCTATTGTGCACATCTCCGAATGTAATTAATGAGGATTTGTGTGTATGTAGCAATGGAATGCTTTTGGAACCAATGAGCAGAGACACTTTTGTTGTCCATTTTTCGGAACCAATCAGAAAAGACAATTTGCACCATTCATGATGACCTACAACTGTCCAAGTTATGTGCTCTGCATCGCTTTGCCTGGTTTTGTATTGTGAATGAGCTGTGTGCAAGTGATCTTCCTTACAAGTGAAGTGTTTTGTAAAATAAATTATGTATCACAGCTTTTGTTATTCTAATTGGTAAAATGAAAGGGGTTTTTAGTACTTCGTTTTTAATTTTAGATCGATATTTTAGTCAAGTTTACAGAATATTCCGAGCTGAACTCATAAGGAGAGAAGAACAACATTCTTCAGTTGTAGAGGCCTATGAGCTTATATTCATCCGAAAACAATTTCTTAGTGCTTCGATTGAATAATTTTCATGTTTCATATTGTTTCATATAATTAACAGAAGCGTTCAAATATTTCACACCAGGTGACAACAGTCAGTTTCCTTTTCTCCTCGTTACCGGGTTTTTATTTTCTTCTAATCAAAAATGTTATGCTTAAATATTTTTACATACACCTGCAAACCAATCCATTACCGGATATGAGACTTATTTCAATAAAGTTAGTCACCAAAAACCTAGAAAGGTGAGATCACTGAGGATCATGGGAAACAATTTATTTCAAACAAGTAAAGCTTTTTTGATACAAAGGATGCTCAGGAGAGGTGTGACTGTAACTGCTAAGATGTGCAAGTCCATAAACAGTTAAAGTGCTACTACGACGAAAATCGCTCAAACTTGGATTCAGCTGAAACTTCCTAAGAATACTCTTTAAAGGTCCAATAATCACT